ACATGAAATAACCAATTAAGCACATTACATATGTGAAAACATGAATCATTTATTTACCCCGATCGGGACTCGAACCTAGGACTTATAATTACTAAGTCAAGTCGCTATCACAACACCACAGAAGGTTAAAAGGAATCCAACATTATAGCTTATATCTGCTATATTTAGGAATGAACGTATTCTAACTGAATGCCACTATGTTCATATTAACGATTCCCCAACCTCACTCGTGGCTTCATTTTAGCATTTAATTCAATTCCCAATCTCATTCGGGCTATGAAATAACCAATTAAGCACATTACACATGTGAAAACATGAATCATTTTTTTACCCCGACCTTGACTCGAACCTAGGATTTATGATTACTGAGTCAAGGCGATACCACTACACCAGAGAAGGTTAAAAATAATCCAACCTTATAGCTTATATCTGCAATACTTAGGAATTAACGCATTCTAACTGAATGCAACTATGTTCATATTACAGATTCCCCAACCTCACTCGTGGCTTCATTTTAGCATTTAATTCAATTCCCAATCTAATTCGGGCCATGAAATAACCAACTAAACACATTACATATGTGAAAACATGAATCATTTTTTTACCCCGACCGGGACTCGAACCTAGGATTTATGATTACTAAGTCAAGACGCAACCACTACACCACAGATGGTTTAAAGGAATCCACCTTATAGGTTATTTCTGCTATACTTAGGAATTAACGCATTCTAACTGAATGCCACTATGTTCATATTACAGACTCCCCAACCTCACTCGTGGCTTCATTTTAGCATTTAATTCAATTCCCAATCTCATTCGGGCCATGAAATAACCAATTAAGCACATTACATATGTGAAAACATGAAACATTTTTTTTGTTACCCTGACCGGGACTCGAACCTAGGACTTATGATTACTAAGACAAGGCCTTACCACTACACCACAGAAGGTTAAAAGGAATCCAACCTTATAGCTTATATCTTCTATACTTAGGAATGAACGCATTCTAACTGAATGCCACTATGTTCATATTACAGATTCCCCAACCTCACTCGTGGCTTCAATTTAGCATTTAATTCAATTCCCAATCTCATTCAGGCCATAAAATAACCAATTAAGCACATTACATATGTGAAAACTTGAATAATTTTTTTTTCTACCCTGACCATGACTCGAATATAAGACTTATGATTACTAAGTCACGGCGCTACCACTACACCAGAGAAGGTTAAAAGGAATCCAACATTATAGCTTATATATGCTATACATAGGAATGAACGCATTCTAACTGAATGCCACTATGTTCATATTAAAGATTCCCCAACCTCACTCGTGGCTTCATTTTAGCATTTAATTCAATTCCTTATTTCATTTGGGCCATGAAATAACCAATTAAAGCACATTACATATGTGAAAACATCAATCATCTTTTTACCCTGACTGGGACCCGAACCTAGAACTTATGATTACTAAGTCAAATCGCTACCACTACACTACGGAAGGTTAAAAGGAATCCAAACTTCTAGCTTATATCTGCTATACTTAGGAATGAACCCTTTATAACTGAATGCAACTATGTTCATATTACAGATTCTCCAACCTCACTCGTGGCTTCATTTTAGCATTTAATTCAATTCCCAATCTCATTCGGGACATGAAATAACAAATTAAGCACACTACAAATGTGAAAACATGAATCATTGTTTTACCCCGACCGGGACTCGAATCTAGAACTTATGATTACTAAGTCAAGTCGCTACCACTACACCACAGAAGGTTAAAAGAAATCCAACCTTATAGCTTATATCTGCTATACTTAAGAATGAACGCATTCTGACTGAATGCCACTATCTTCATATTACAGATTAACCAACCTCACTCGTTGCTTCATTTTAGCATTTAATTCAATTCACAATCTTATTCGGGAAATGAAATAACCAATTGAAGCACATTACAAATGTGAAAACAGGAATCATTTTTTTACCCCGACCGGGTCTCGAACCTAGGACTTATGATTACTAAATCAAGGCGCTAAAACTACACCACAGAAGGTTAAAAGGAATCCAACCTTATAGCTTATATCTGCAATACTTAAGAACGAATGCATTCTAACTGAATGCCACTATGTTCATATTACAGATTCCCCAACCTCACTCGTGGCTTCATTTTAGTATTTAATTCAATTCCCAATCTCATTCGAGCCATGAAATAACCACTTAAGCACATTACATATGTGAAAACATGAATCATTCTTTTACCCCGACTGAGACTCGAACCTAGAAGTTATGATTACTAAGTCAAGGCGTTACCACTACACCACAGAAGGTTAAAAGGAATCCAACCTTATAGCTTATATCTGCTATACTTAGGAATGAACGCATTCTAACTGAATGCCACTATGTTCATAATACAGATTCCCCATCCTCACTCGTGGCTTCATTTTAACATTTAATTCAATTCCCAATCTCATTCGGGTCATGAAATAACCAATTAAGCACATTACAAATGTGAAAACATGAATCATTTTTTTACCCCGATCGGGACTCGAACCTAGGACTTATGATTACTAAGTCAAGACGCTACCACTACACCACAGAAGGTTAAAAGGAATCCAACCTAATAGCTTATATCTGACATACTTAGGAATGAATGCATTCTATCTGAATGCCACTATGCTCTTATTACAGATTCCATAACCTCACTCGTGGCTTCATTTTAGCATTTAATTCAATACCCATTTTCATTCAGGCCATGAAATAACCAATTAAGCACATTACATATGTGAAAACATGAATAATTTTTTTTACCCCAACCAGGACTCGAACCTAGGACTTATAATTACTTAGTCAAGTCGCTACCACTACACCAGAGAAGGTTAAAAGGAATCCAACCTTATAGCTTATATCTGCTATACTTAGGAATGAACGTATTCTAACTGAATGCCACTATGTTCATATTACAGATTCCCCAACCTCACTCGTGGCTTAATTTTAGCATTTAATTCAATTCCCAATCTCATTCGAGCCATGAAATAACCAATTAAGCACATTACATATGTGAAAACATGAATCATTTTTTTTACCTTGACCTGGAGTTGAACCTTGGACTTATGATTACCAATTCAAGGCGCTACAACTACAATACAGAAGGTTAAAATGAATCCAACCTTATAGCTTATATCTGCTATACTTAGGAATGAACGCATTCTAACTGAATGCCACTATGTTAATATTACAGATTCCCCAACCTCACTCGTGGCTTCATTTTAGCATTTAATTCAATTCCCAATCTCATTCGGGCCATGAAATAACCAATCAAGCACATTACATATGTGAAAACATGAATCATTTTTTTACCCCGACAGGGACTCGAACCTAGGAATTATGATTACTAAGTCAAGTCACTACCACTACACCACAGATGGTTTAAAGGAATCTAACCTTATAGCTTATATCTGCTATACTTAGGAATGAACGCATTCTAACTGAATGTCACTATGTTCATATTACAGACTCCCCAACCTCACTCGTGGCTTCATTTTAGTATTTAATTCAATTCCCAATCTCATTCAGGTCATGAAATAACCAATTAAGCACATTACATATGTAAAAACATGAATCATTTTTTTTACCCCGACTAGGACTCGAACCTTGGACTTATGATTACTAAGTCAAGGCGCTACCACTACACCAGAGAAGGTCAAAAGGAATCCAACCTTATAGCTAATATCTGCTATACTTACGAATGAACGCATTCTAACTGAATGCCACTATGTTCATATTACAGATTCACCAACCTCACTCGTAGATTCATTTTAGCATTTAATTCAATTCCCAATCTCATTCGGGCCATGAAATAACCAATTAAGCACATTGCATATGTGAAAACATGAATAATTTTTTTACCCTGACCGGGACTTGAACCTAGGACTTATGATTACTAAGTCAAGGTGCTACCACTACACCATAGAACGTTAAAATGAATCCAACCTTATAGCTTATATATGCTATACTTAGGAATGAATGCATTCTAACTGAATGCCACTGTATTCATATTACAGATTCCCCAACCTCACTCGTGGCTTCATTTTAGCATTAAATTCAATTCACAATCTCATTCGGGCCATGAAATAACCAATTAAGCACATTACATATGTGAAAACATGAATCATTTTTTTACCCCGACTGGGACTCGAACCTACTACTTATGATTACTAAGTCAAGTCGCTACACCTTCACCACAGATGATTTAATGGAATCCAACCTTATATATTATATCTGCTATACTTAGGAATGAATGCATTCTCACTGAATGCCACTATGTTCATATTAAAGATTCCCCAAACTCACTCGTGGCTTCATTTTAGCATTTAATTCAATTCCCAATCTCATTTAGGGTATGAAATAATCAATTAAGCACATTACATATGTAAAAACATGAATCATTTCTTTTACCCCTACTGGGACTCGAACCTAGGACTTATGATTACTAAGTGAAGGCACTACCACTACACCAGAGAAGGTTAAAAGGAATCCAACCTTATAGCTTATATCTGCTATACTTAGGAATGAATGCATTCTAACTGAATGCCACTATGTTCATATTACAGATTCCCCAACCTCACTCGTGGCTTCATTTTAGCATTTAATTCAATTCCCAATCTCATTCGGGCCATGAAATAACCAATTAAGCACATTACATATGTGAAAACATGAATCATTTTTTTACCCCGATCGGGACTCGAACCTAGGACTTATGATTACTAAATCAAGACGCTACCACTACACCACAGAAGGTTAAAAGGAATCCAACCTTATATCTTATATCTGCTATTCTTAGGAATGAACGTATTCTAACTGAATGCCACTATGTTCATATTACAGATTCCCCAACCTCACTCGTGGCTTAATTTTAGCATTTTATTCAATTCCCAATCTCATTCGAGCCATGAAATAACCAATTAAGCACATTACATATGTGAAAACATGAATCATTTTTTTTACCCTGACCAGGACTTCAACCTAGGACTTACGATTACCAATTCAAGGCGCTACCACTACACCACAGAAGGTTAAAATGAATCCAACCTTATAGCTTATATCTGCTATACTTAGGAATGAGCGCATTCTAACTGAATGCCACTATGTTAATATTACAGATTCCCCAACCTCACTCGTGGCTTCATTTTAGCATTTAATTCAATTCCCAATCTCATTCAGGCCATGAAATAACCAATTAAGCACATTACATATGTAAAAACATGAATCATTTTTTTTACCCCTACTGGGACTCGAACCTTGGACTTATGATTACTAAGTCAAGGCGCTACCACTACACCAGAGAAGGTCAAAAGGAATCCAACCTTATAGCTAATATCTGCTATACTTACGAATGAACGCATTCTAACTGAATGCCACTATGTTCATATTACAGATTCCCCAACCTCTCTCGTGGCTTCATTTTAGCATTTAATTCAATTCCCAATCTCATTCGGGCCATGAAATAACCAATTAAGCACATTGCATATGTGAAAACATGAATAATTTTTTTACCCTGACCGGGACTTGAACCTAGGACTTATGATTACTAAGTCAAGGTGCTACCACTACACCATAGAACGTTAAAATGAATCCAACCTTATAGCTTATATCTGCTATACTTAGGAATGAATGCATTCTAACTGAATGCCACTGTATTCATATTACAGATTCCCCAACCTCACTCGTGGCTTCATTTTAGCATTAAATTCAATTCCCAATCTCATTCGGGCCATGAAATAACCAATTAAGCACATTACATATGTGTAAACATGAATCATTTTTTTACCCCGACCGGGACTCGAACATAGGACTTATGATTACTATGTCAAGTCGCTACCACTTCACCACAGATGGTTTAATGGAATCCAACCTTATATCTTATATCTGCTATACTTAGGAATGAACGCATTCTAACTGAATGCCACTATGTTCATATTACAGATTCCCCAACCTCACTCGTGGCTTCATTTTAGCATTTAATTCAATTCCCAAACTCATTCGGGCCATGAAATAACCAATTAAGCACATTACATATGTGAAAACATGAATCATTTTCTTACCCCGACACGGAATCGAACCTAGGACTTATGATTACTAAGTCAAGGTGCTACCACTACACCACAGAAGGTTAAAAGGTATCCAACCTGATACCTTATATTTGCTATACTTAGGAATGAACTTATTCTAACTGAATGCCACTGTATTCACATTACAGATTCCCCAACCTCACTCGTGGCTTCATTTTAGCATTTAATTTCAATTCCCAATCTCATTCAGGCCATGAAATAACCAATTAAGCACATTACATATGTGAAAACTTGAATCATTTTTTTTCCCCGACAGGGAGTCGAAACTAGGACTTATGATTACTAAGTCAAGGCGCTACCACTTCACCACAGATGGTTTAAAGGAATCCAACCTTATAGCTTATATCTGCTATACTTAGGAATGAAGGCATTCTAGCTGAATGCCACTATGTTCATATTACAGACTCCCCAACCTCACTCGTGGCTTCATTTTAGCATTTAACTCAATTCTCAATCTCATTTAGGATATGAAATACTCAATTAAGCACATTACATATTTAAAAACATGAATCATTTTTTTTACCCCTACCGGGACTCAAACCTAGGACTTATGATTACTAAGTCAAGGCGCTACCACTACACCAGAGAAGGTTAAAAGGAATCCAACCTTATAGCTAATATCTGCTATACTTAGGAATGAACTCATTCTAACTGAATGCCACTATGTTCATATTACAGATTCCCCAACCTCACTCGTGGCTTCATTTTAGCATTTAATTCAATTCCCAATCTCATTCGGGCCATGAAATAATCAATTAAGCACATTACATATGTGAAAACATTAATTTTTTTTTTTTTACCCTGACCGGGACTTGAACCTAGGACTAATGATTACTAAGTCAAGGCACTACCACTACACCACAGAAGGTTAAAAGGAATCTAGACTTATAGCTTATACCTGATATACTTAGGAATGAATGCATTCTAACTGAATGCCACTATGTTCATATTACAGATTCCCCAACCTCACTCGTGGCTTCAATTTAGCATTTAATTCAATTACCAATTTCATTCGGGCCATGAAATAACCAATTAAACACATTACATATGTGAAAACATGAATAATTTTTTTACCCCAACCAGGACTCGAACCTAGGACTTATAATTACTAAGTCAAGTCGCTACCACTACACCACAGAAGGTTAAAAGGAATTCAACCTTATAGCTTATATCTGCTATACTTAAGAATGAACGCATTCTAACTGAATGCCACTATGTTCATATTACAGATTCCCCAACCTCACTCGTGGCTTCATTTTAGCATTTAATTCAATTCCCAATCTCATTCAGGCCATGAAATAACCAATTAAGCACATTACATATATGAAAACATGAATCATTTTTTTACCCCGACCTGGACTCGAACCTAGGACTTATAATTACTAAGTCAAGTCGCTACCACTACACCACAGAAGATTAAAAGGAATCCAACATTATAGCTTATATCTGCTATATTTAGGAATGAACGCATTCTAACTGAATGCCACTATGTTCATATCACAGATTCCCCAACCTCACTCGTGGATTCATTTTAGCATTTAATTCAATTCTCAATCTCATTCGGGCCATGAAATAACCAATTAAAGTACATTTCATATGTGAAAACATGAATCATTTTTTTACCCCGACCGGGACACAAACCTAGGGCTCTTGGTTACTAAATCAAGGTGCTACCACTACAACACAGAAGGTTAAAAGGAATCCAACCTTATAGCTTATATCTGCTATATTTAGGAATGGACGCATTCTAACTGAATGCCACTTTCATATTACAGATTTCCCAACCTCACTCGTGGCTTCATTTTAGCATTTAATTCAATTCCCAATCTCATTCGGCCATGAAATAACCAATTAAGTACATTACATATGTGAAAACATAAATCATTCTTCTACCCCGACTGGGACTCGAACCTAGGACTTATGATTACTAAGTTAAGTCGCTACCACTACACCACAGAAGGTTAAAAGGAATCCAACCTTATAGCTTATATCTGCTATACTTACGAATGAAGACATTCTTACTGAATGCAACTATGTTCATATTACAGAATCCCCAACCTCACTCGTGGCTTCATTTTAGTATTTAATTCAATTCCCAATCTCATTTGGGCTATGAAATAATCAATTAAGCACATTATATATGAAAAAAAATGAATCATTTTTTTACCCCGACTAGGAATCGAACCTAGGACTTATAATTACTAATTCAATTCGATACCACTACACCACAGAAGGTTAAAAGGAATCCAACCTTATAGCTTATATCTGCTATAACTAAGATTGAACGCATTCTAACTGAATGCCACTATGTTCATATTACAGAATCCCCAACCTCACTCGTGGCTTCATTTTAGCATTTAATTCAATTCCCAATCTCATTCGGGCTATGAAATAATCAATTAAGTACATTACATATTTGAAAACATGAATCATTTTTCTACCCCGACCGGGACTCTAACCTAGGACTTATGATTACTAAGTCAAGGTGCTACCACTACACCACAGAAGGTTAAAAGGAATCCAACCTTATAGCTTATATCTGCTATACTTCGGAATGAACGCATTCTAACTGAATGCCACTATGTTCATATTACAGATTCCCCAACCTCACTCGTGGCTTCATTTTAGCATGTAATTCAATTCCCAATCTCATTCGGGCCATGAAATAATCAATTAAGCACATTACATATGTGAAAAAACGAATCATTTTTTTACCCTGAACGGGACTCGAACCTAAGATTTATAATTACTAAGTCAAGTCGCTCCCACTACACCACAGAAGGTTAAAAGGAATCCAACCTTTTAGCATATATCTGCTATACTTAAGAATGAATGCATTCTAACTGAATGCCACTATGTTCATATTGCAGATTCCCCAACCTCACTCTTGGCTTCACTTTAGCATTTAATTCAATTCCCAATCTCATTCGGGCCATGAAATAACAAATTAAGCACATTACATATGTGAAAACATGAATCATTTTTTTACCCCGACCTGGACTCAAACCTAGGACTTATGATTACTAAGTAAACCCGCTACTACTACACCACAGAAGGTTAAAAGGAATCCAACCTTTTAGCATATATCTGCTATACTTAGGAATGAACGCATTCTAACTGAATGCCACTATGTTCATATTACAGATTCCCCAACCTCACTCGTGGCTTCATTTTAGCATTTAATTCAATTCCCAATCTCATTTGGGCCATAAAATAACCAATTAAGCACATTACATATGTGAAAACACGAATCATTTTTTTACCCTGACCGGGACTCGAACCTAGGACTTATGATTACTAAGTTAAGGCGCTACTCTTTACACCACAGAAGGTTTAAATGCATCCAACCTTTTAGCTTATATCTGCTATATTTAGGAATGAACGCATTCTAACTGAATGCCACTATGTTCATATTACATATTCCCCAACCTCACTCGTGACTTCATTTTAGCATTTAATTCAATTTCCAATCCCATTCGGGCCATGAAATAACCAATTAGGCAAATTACATATGTGAAAACATGATTCATTTTTTTACTCCGACCCGGACTCGAACCTAGGACTTATAATTACTAAGTAATCCCGCTACCACTACACCACAGAAGGTTAAAAGGAATCCAACCTCATAGCTTATATCTGCTATACTTATGAATGAACGCATTTCAACTGAATGCCACTATGTTCATATTACAGATTCCCCAACCTCACTCATGGCTTCATTTTAGCATTTAATTCAATTCCTAATCTCATTCGGGCCATGAAATAATCAATTAAGCACATTAAATATGTGAAAACATGAATCATTTTTTTACCCTTACCGGAACTCGAACCTAGGATTATGATTACTAAATCAAGGCGCTACCACTACACCACAGAAGCTTAGAAGGAATCCAACCTTATAGCTTATATCTGCTGTACTTAGGAATGAACGCATTCTAACTGAAC